GACGCCAGCAGAAGAACCCCCAGCAGTAGAGCCCTGAGGTGCAGAAGCGCGACGCTGACGGCGACCGTACCAGTCGTGCAGCTGCTGGGAGGTGAGAGGCACACGCGGACGAAGACGGCTACTCCGAGGAGACCGCGGAACAGCAGTCTCAGAACCCTCAGGCGACTCACCCCCAGACTCAGCACCCCCAGGCTCCGCACACGCAGGCTCAGCACCCCCGGACGCAGCACCCCCAGATGCAGCACCCCCAGACGCAGCACCCCCAGGCTCAGGACCTCCAGGCTCCTCACGCACAGGCTCAGCACCTCCAAGCTCCGCACCCTCAGGCCCCTCACGCTCAGCGCCCCCAGACTCAGCACCCCCACGCTGCGCACCCCCAAGCTCCGCACCCCCAGGGACAGCACCACTCCCAGCAGGACCGGAGTCACTAGTGACCTCAACAGGCGCAGGGACGGGAGGGTCTACCTGAGAAACACCTGAAGGAGCAGGACCTGGCACGGGGAGGGGGTCTACATGGGGAGGACCTGGGGCGAGAAAGAGCGGCGGGAGGGGGGGGGGAGCAGTGCGGTAGGGGAAGAGGCGGTAAAAGGGGACCGACTCGTCAAAGGTGACGTCCTGAGACGGAAAGACACGGCGCAAGGCGGGGTCGTAAAACTGCCAGCCAGGCGCGTCAGGGACAAAGCCAAGGAAGACGCAAGGAATGGTGCAAGGGGAGAGTTTGTCCGCGGTGGTATCGCGGACAAAGGCACGAGCACCCCAGACCCGGAAACGCGACCCGTCGCCAACCTTCCCCGTCCACAGCAGTGTAGGCGAGGTCTCCGGCAAGGAGACACGGAGCCAAAGATTGAGCTGATGCGCGGCGTACCGGACCGCAAACGGCCACAGAAAATGGGGGGCAGCCGCTAGGATCATGGAGGTACGAGCGACCTCCATGACTAAGCCAATGCGGCGCTCAGCAACCCCATTCTGCTGCGGAGAGGCCGGAAGCGTGAAAGTCTGGCGGATGCCGTGCTCCGCACAGAAGGCTGCCAAGAGGTCTGAGGAGAACTCACCACCTTTGTCAGAGTGCAGACGCAAGCAAGGAAAGTCCGACTGGAACCGCTCGCGGAGCTGGAGACGAGCAGCGCACATCCAGGGGATCAATACATCAGGGACATCTCCCTTGCGCTACAAGGGGAAGACCGTGGTGTAACGCGTGTAGTCGTCGACAACCAGCAGGAAGTACCGCTCGTGGCCTTGTCCACGGACGCGGGCTGGGCCCCACACGTCCAGGTGGAGAGTCTGCAGGGGAGCCTCTGTGGGAGGGAACGAGGAGGAGTGAGGAGCGGCGCGCTGCTGCCCCTCGACGCAAGGAATGCAGGGCGGCGCAGGCGAGGGAGGGAGGGCAGGCAGAGACCTGGGAAGACCAGAGACCAGGAAGTGAGAGTGCATGCTACGCAGGCGAGGTAGGGAGGGGTGACCAAGGCGGTGGTGCCACAGGAGAGTGTCGTGCGACAGCCGGCGACACTCACACTGGGTAGCTACCTGAGTAGACGCGTGTAACTGGGGAGACAAAGGGGCGGAGCGTAACGCAGTGATGAGGGTGTACAGACTGGACCCTGGCGTACGAGTGAACGTGGCCAGGTGGCGGCCGGTCTCGGAGCACGTGCAAATCGCCACACGCTGCCGGCCAGGGGTGAAGGTGTCAACCCCCGCATCCTGGAGGACACCGTCGCTCACCAAGTTCGTAGAGAACGAGGGGAGGTGGAGACCAGACAGCTCACCAGACGGGACCGCCGGACACGGAAGCACGGTGGAAGACCGTGCAAGCACTGGGCCCCCAGAGGGGTCAGCCAGTGAGACAGGAACAGGTCCAGGGAGGGGAGTGACTGTGGTAATGTCGCGAAAGAAACAGCGGGAAGCACCAGAGTCAAGTGTAAAAGTGTGCAAGGCCTGTGCAGGCGCAGTACCAGGGGGAGCAGACTCACAAGCACCTAGTGCTGCAGGCGCTATACTAGGGACTATACCAGGATCCGGCGGCACACACAAGTAGCAGTCACCCTCAGTACTAACAGACAATGCATACATAGCAGCAAGAATAGCCTCATAGTCAAGATCAAAGATAGGTGCATCACGCCTAAGCAGCTCTGCCCAGTTGGGGAACTCAGGAGCATCAGGAAACTTGGCGCGCCAGGCGTCGCTAAGCCGAGCGAAGCAGCGCTGCTCAGTGTGATAACCTGTGCACTGGCGACCAGTGCGGGGACCTGTGCGAATGATATAGGGGCAGCGACCAGGACCCCCAGTCAAGAAGCTGCTGGGAAGTGGGGGTCTGGCGCTGACGCTGCTGCTGCTGCTGCTGCGGCTGCTGCTGGCCCTGACCACCACTACCACCACCGCTCCCTCCTCCCCCACCGCCACTGCTACCCCCTCCACCGCTCCCAGTGCCTCCACCGCCCCCACCACCACCTCCACCGCCTCTACCCCCACGACCACCCCCACCACCTCCACCTCCCCCGCCGCCTGCACCTCTGCCACCTCCACCGCCACCCCCACCGCCCCTGCCACCCCTGCCGCCCCTGCCGTTGCGACGCTTCCCACTAGGAGCGGAAGCAGCTCCGACCTCCTCAGCACCAAGGTAGTCGTGAGCAGCAGCTGCGGAGGCGTAGGAGGGGGTGAGAGGGGAGGGGGAGCACCCCTCAAAGAGGGGAGAGCGAGGAGTGCCACGAGCAGCACCTACAGCGAGGATGTTCTTCTCTGCTGCGAGGAGGTGCTTCTCGAAGTCGTCGACAGTGAGAGTGGGGGGGTCTAGCGCGAGGAAGTGGTCTCTGACTGAGCTAAGAGTGTCAGGGAGGCGGGTGACGAGGAAATAGAGAGTGAAGTACATCGGGGGGGGGGTTAGCGGCGCAGAACTCGGCTGAAAGGGCGGCACGAAAGCGAGTGTCAGTAGCGCGCAGGTGGGAAATGAGGTCCTCAGCAGTGGTGAACGAGGAAAGGTCGGGGAACAGGTAGGGTAGCATGAGCCGACCTATGGCTGCAGTGGCCGGGGAGGAGTAGCGCGCAACTACAGCGTCGTACAGCTTCTTAGCAGTTTTGTGCTGGCTGAAATGCGCGCGCTCAGTAATCGGCAGGTGGTTCCTAATAGTGAGGCGTGCAGCAGCATCGCGAGTCTGCCACTGCGAGCGTTCGAGAGCAGGAGCATCGGCAGCAGGAGCAACGGCAGTGCCAGACACGTAATCGAACAGGGAAACGCCCTCTTTGGCATCGGTCAGAAGGCACAGCTGGAGATCGTCTAACCACACAGCGAACTCTATGGGGCGACCGTCAGGCTCGAACGCGAGAACATTAGGCGTCGTCATAATGGCAGCAGGCAGAGGCAGCATGCAGCAGGCAGGCAGTAGACACGAGGCAGCAGGCTAAGACAGAGGCAGTAGGCAGCAGGGCAGTAGCTTGCTGCACTCGAGCTCCTAAGGTGGCGCTCTAGACAGTAGCAGGCCGCACAGTTCCAAGTCAGCGGGCTCGGCAGCAGTGAGCCTCACAGGCAGGTACACGAGTAGGGCACGCGCGGCTGCTGGCTGCGTGCGGCTGAGGGCTGCGTGCGGCTCTCTGCTGCGCGTGGCTACGTGCTGCGCGCGGCTCCTGGCTGCACGTGGCGACGGGCAGCGAGCGCGGTTGCGGGCTGCGTGCGGCGACGGGCCTAAGCAGGCTGCGCGCGGGCGGCGTAAGGGGCGCGCGGGCTCTACGCGGGCTGCGCGGGCGACGCGGGCCGGCGCGCGGCTCTGCAGCAGTGGCGCGCGCTAAAAACAGTGACGCGCGCGCTAGAAACCAAGGCGCGCGCGGAAAAAAAAAAAAAAAAAAAAACGTGACGCGCGCTGCAGCCGAGGCGCGCACGGGCAGTAGGCAAGGCAGGCAGGTAGTAACACACTTAGGTGGGCCCGATTCTTAGGTCCTAGAGACCTCCTGCTCTAGTTACCATGTTAAGACTAAGTCAAGGGAATGATTAGATTAGGTCAAGGTTGGGGTACAAGACTAGAGTGTCGAGAAAGTTTCTGTACCCCCTAGTGCTAACCCCCATGCAGCCTAGATAACCTAAACATGCATATATAATTTGACACCTTGACCTCAATTCAGAGTGGATGTATACTGATCGAGATGAATTAAACATGCAAATACAAGCATATATATATGTATATATATGAGTACAGGGGAATACGAAACGACCTAGACTAGCCATGTACTCTACGGGGTACATTTTCTTATTGCAGCGAAATCCAACCGTGCGACTCCAGACGGTTACGAACTGCTCGGGCAGAATCCTCACCACTGCTGCTTGCCTGATGCTGTCTGCCCTGACGGTCCAGATGCTATGTAACCGTACAACTCTTCGCGTCCTTTCGTCTTCAGCCTCGGTACTGCATGCTTCGATTGCTACTGTCAGGAGTGCACAGTAACACTTCATCTATTACTATCCGTAACAATAATTATGAATCCCGCTGCCTTCCTAATGCGAAACGCTCGAAACCTGCCACCCTTCGTAACGTGACACGTGCTTTTGCGGAAATTCACAACTGGAAAAACAGTTATACTGTACGGTTCGTTTATCGTTTACAATGGACGGCTCCATTGGGGTAACGAAACCGTCCGTTTGTCGAGCGTTCGCTAAGAAACATAACTTCAGTCAAATGCAAAATGGTTACCCGCCCTGATTTGACAATAAAGACAGCCTTGGAGTTACCTCAAATGGTTCTCAATCGTTAGAACCGCCAAAATGGTTACCTCCTCATTTGGTCGCTACAATGCTCAAATTCGTTCTTCTTTGCATAATTTTCGACTGTTGCCACATGTCGTTGACTGGTTACCTTTGCAAAAACGGCCCGACGGATTGTGGCCGAATTTTTGGAGTTCCCGATTTTACACGCCCTTCTCACTTCTCTCAAATATTGTTCATGAAATTTCCTCCACAGTAGTGGAATCCTTGAGTGATCGAGCTTCAGTCAGTCATTCTCACCGGTGCACTCACGAATATGTCGAGATCACGCTCCAGTTCCACAACTGATGGGAAACGACACGGCAGGCAGCTGCAGAAGAGGGCACCACATGGCGTCCCAGGCCACCTTGCGCTGTTAGCAGCACGCGGTAGCACGGCGCACATCACATCACCAGAGGGCGTGCGCGTTGCAGACCGCCTCGGACATGCGCATTTCGGACAGCCGCCGCACGGCGCCCAGCCCGTCGCTCTGCGCGCGACTCGTGTGCGCGCCGCTCCCCTCGCGGTGCTGCCTGCTGCTGGGCGCGCTCGTCCTCCAGCTTCTCGGCCTCGCGCTCCTCCTGCCCCGCCTGCCTCCCATCCCCCGCCACGCGCTTTCAGCAAACCCCCTTCCGCGGAATTTCCTTCCCCGCAGCGTTCTAAAACGTAATTCTCTCCCGCGAGATTTTCGCGGAAAGCGTGCGGAGCGGGAGGAGGCGGAGGGCCTGGAGGAGGACGGGGCATGGCGGCTGTACCAGCAGTGGCGGGGGGACCTGATGGGCACGGGCACAGGGGGGGTAACGGGGAGAGCGGGGGATAGGGAACAGGAAGCGGATGGGGAACGAAAGAAGGACGCAGAGGTCCGGAGGAGCAAGGAAGGGGTGCGTGGCAGAGGAGGGAGGGGTTGCTGGTGATGCTTCTGATCTTTCGACTGCCCTCTGCATTGCTCTGCTCCGCCCTGCGCCCTTTCCGCTTCCTTCACTCCTTTCTCTCCTTTACTCTCCCACTTTCTCTTGCTCCCCGTTTGCTCCTTCCCCCCGTGTCATCACCAGCAGCAGCAGCAGCAGCAGCAGCAGCAGCAGCAGGGGGGGGAGTGGGAGCGGTGTGGGGGCGTGGGCGATGCAGCGAGTATGCGCAGTGCGGCAGGGATGATGGCGGACGACGGGCCACGCCACGCCATGCCCCCGCAAATGAAACCTGGCAACACGGCAGGCGGTGCAGCTGGGAGTGGTGGGGTGCGATACCTGATGGTGGAAGTGAATGGGGGACTGAACCAGCAACGCACAGCGGTGAGGTTCTTCCTTCCTTGCTCGACCTGTCCATGTATTGACTAGTAAGCAGGACGGGAAGCCAGCAACGTGTGTGCAGCCATGCTCCCTCCAGCATCCCACCTGTTCGTGCAGCATTGACACATTTGCATCACAAAGGCGCCCATGCTGGGATCCACCTTGCCGCTATGCGCACTGCACTGCACTGCACTGCACTGCACTGAGCTGCGCTGCGGGCTTCACCGTGAGCGTGCTGTGGTGTGGGGGTGAGCAGGGGGTGAGTGCGTGCGGGGTGAGGAGCAGCAGGGACAGCACAAGCTTGGCGAGGGGTGCTCAGCTGCTTGGCGTGGGCTCAGCTGGGGAGGGGGCTTTAGAACGGGGAGTTGCAGGGCCGTAGGCAGCTGTGCGCGCGGCTGTTGCTGGGCATGCTACTGTGCGCGCGGCTGTTGCTGGGCATGCGACTCTGCGCGCGGCTGTTGCTGGGCATGCGACTCTGCGCGCGGCTGCTGCTGCATGGCTGCCGCTGCTTGGGTCGGGACGGGGCGGGGCAGTGCGAAACTGGGCTGGAAGCGTGGGCCAGGCAGCGCGCGCGCGGCGCCTGCAGTGCGTGCGCGTGTTGCTGCCTGTGCACAAGCTTGCAACACCCGCCCTAAACAGCTCGCCCCAGCGAGGGATCTCAGTAGCGTCGGGGAACTGGTGACGCCAAGCGTCCGTCAGACGGCCGAAGCAGCGCTGGGTGGAGTGCGGACCCCCACACTGCTCACCCGCGCGGTCGCCGGTACGGAGAACGTAGGTACAGGGGCCAGCACCCCCACCCCGCTGACGAGCAGTGTACCACTCACGAAGCTGCTGGGGGGAGGGGGTCTCACGAGTGTGCTGCTGCTGCTGCTGCTGGCGCTGACCACCACCGGAGCCGACCCTCTGCGCAGAGCCGCCCCGACCAGCTCAACCTCCGCCGCCGCCAACCTCCACCACCGCCTCCACCTCCGCTACCTCCGCTCGCACCGCCACCACCGCTGCCTCCTCCGCCTCCACTGCTGCCACTAGTGCCCCCACCCCCGCCACCACTCCCACCTCCACCCCCACCCCCTCCACCGCCTCCACCGCCTCCTCCACCGCCCCCGCTAGCTCCTCCAGCTCCCTTGCCGCCCTTGCCCTTGCCTGAGCGGCGTCTCCCGCTAGGGGCAGACGCCGCGCCGACCGACTCAAGACCAACGAGGTCGGCCGCAGCAGCAGAGGCAACAGAGGGCAAGAGGGGGCAGGGGGAGCACCCCTCAAAGACAGGGGTACGAGGGTCACCACGGGAGGCTCCTACAGCGACTATACCCTTCTCTGCTGCTAGGAGGCGCTCCTCGAGGAGGTCAACGGTGAGAGTGGTGGGGCAGACAGAGAGGAAGTGGTCCCTAACTGAACGAAGGGTGTCAGGGAGCCGGGTGACTATGTAGTAGAGGGTGATGTACATAGGGGGGGGGTTCTTGGCGCAGAACTCAGCAGGAAGCGCAGCGCGGTAGCGAATGTCACTAGTGCGAAGGTGCGTAATGAGGTCAGCGACTGTGGGAAAAGCGGCGAGGTCAGGGAAGAGGTACGGCAGTATGAGGCGGCTAAGAGCAGCAGTGGCAGGGGAAGAGTAGCGTGCAACTACCGCATCGTACAAGGTCTTAGCACTCTTATACTGACTAAAATGCGCGCGCTCAGCGGTCGGTAAGTGGCGGCGCACAGCAAGGCGGGCAGCAGCATCGCGCGTGGCCCACTGTGAGCGAACAGTGGCGTCAGCATCAGCAGCAGGGGCAGGGGAGGCACCAGAAGTGAGGTCAAAGAGGGAGAGACCGTCTGCCCTATCGCACTGTAGGAAAAGCTGCAGGTCATCTACCCAGACCTCAAAGTCAACAGCCCGACCCTCAGCGTCAAAGGTGAGAACACTAGGGGTGGCCATGACAGTAGTAGAGAGGTAGTGAGCACAGTGGGGAACGGCAGTGCAGTGGTAGAGGCGCTGCTCTTACCAGGCAAGTGAGGCGCTCCGGGGCAGGCTGGTAGGCGGCGGCGTCTCAGCTGCAATGCGGTTCGGCGGCTCGGCGGCTCGGCGGCTCGGCCGCTCGGCTGCTCGGCGGCAACGGCGGCTCGGCGGCTCGGCGGCTTGGCGGCAACGGCGGCTCGGCGGCTCGGCGGCAAAGGCGGCTCGGCGGCTCGGCGGCAAAGGCGGCCCGGCAGCTCGGCGGAAAGGGCGGCTCGGCAGCACGGCGGCACGGCGGCAAGGGGCGGCGACGGGGCCGCTGAAAGGGGCTGCGACGGGGCCGCGGAAGGGCGGCTACGGGGCCGCTGAAGGGGCGGCGACGGGGCCGCTGGAATGGCGGCGACGAGGCCGCTGAAGGGCGGCGACAGGGCCGCTGTGGGGCGGCGACGTGGCCGAGGGGAGGAGGGGGCCGGCGACGGGGCCGCAAGGGCGGCGTGACGGGGCCGTGAAGGGGCCGCGAGCGGCTGTGAGGGGCCGCGAGGGCGGGGCGACGGGGCCGGGAGGGCGGCGCGACGGGGCCGCGAGGGGCCGCGAAGGGGCCGCGAGGGCGGCGCGACGGGGCCGCGAGGGGCCGCAAAGGGGCCGCGAGGGCGGCGTGACGGGGCCGCGAGGGGCCGCAAAGAGGCCGCGAGGGCGGCGCGACGGGGCCGCGAGGGGCCGCTAAGGGGCCGCGAGGGCGGCGCGACAGGGTCGCTAGGGCGGCGCGACGGGGCCGTAAGGGCGGCGCGACGGGGCCGTTAGGGGCCGTGAGAGGGGCCACAATAGGCCACTGAGAGGAGGCACAGGGCGCGACTCGGGCAGGGGCTAAGCGCACTCCGGGCAGGAAAAAAAAACTCGCTATTCGGTGGGCCCTAGGAACAATTTCTACGAGGGAACCTGCTCTGATACCATGTGAAAATTGGCACGAGAATGATTGCATTGAGCAGCATGAGGAGTACAAGTACCAAACCCTAAAGTGTTGTACCCCATATAAGCTACCCCACTACAGCCTACATAGACTATAGCATATGAGTTTGACACGGCAAACCCCTGGGAGCATCCTGGGTTTGCTTCGAGAGTCCCAAATTGCAATCAACATATTGTTGTTCCCTGCTCTCCCATTCGACAAAAAAAAACTGGCCAATCAGATTGCATCTCACTTCTCGTAACCACCCTTCGCAACCCAAACAGCACTCAAAACATCACCCCCGTCAACCTTAGTAAGCTTGGCCAGCGCGCCCCGCAATTTGGGCCGCGAGCTTTAAGCGCGTAAAAACTGCCATGAAGAATTACATGGCGGCAAATTTGAAGGGTTTTCAAGGGTACCAGCTGCAATACCGGTGAAAATTTTTGCAACGGGTGGAAGGAGAGGGTGACAGCTGCTTTCGTCCCTGTCTAGAGATTCTCAGCGAGTCACGACAACGTCGTCGGGGAAGGTGATCCGCAGTTCGAGTTTGAGGTTGAAAAAATATTTGCAAGGTCAGGAGAAGTGACAGTAGTTGTTTTTTGCCTCTGCTCGGGAGTTTTTGGAGAATCGCGACAAAGGTCTCGGCGGGGCATGACACGGCCCCAGTAAGGCTGACATCATCAGAACTTGAGTTTGAGTTTTTCGACAAAGTTTTCGAGTCTTTCCTTATCACTTACGTGATCCATTATTCTCGCCAAACGTCGCTGATGCGCCACAACGACTTCAACGACCTGGAGGCACGACCTGTCAGAAAGTGGGAAAGAAGAATGACTAGAACAACAGCAGTACGGAGTTTGTATAGCAAAACCTAATTGGGCTGTACCCCATAAGGAGTGCCGCACTACAGCCTAGAGCATATAAATGCATAGTTCTGACGCACCCCCATAGGCAAAGTGGGGGAGAAGCAAGAGAACGAAGCAAGGTCAAGCTCAGGGTGGATCACAACGTCACCACGCACTCCAAGCACAAGCAAATGGCCACAAGGCCAGCTCACATGCTGAGTTATATATATAGGAGAACAAGCAGTACAGTGATCACAACCTAGCAAGTGTAAACATGCAGGTATAAGTATATAGATCACAGTACAAGCAAATTCAAGAGGTGAGAAAGTGAGGCCAAGTAGGCACAAGGTCTAAAACAGTATAAAAACGCTGATGATCACAAGGCTAGAGTGCCTTGGGGAAGATATCAGCAGTGTTGGCCTGTGAGGCCACGTAAACAAGATGAAGCTAACCACGCTGCTGCAACTCTCGAGCAAGGAAGTAGCGCAGAGTGATGTGCTTCGTTCTGTGCTCCAGTCTGTGCTCCTGACACAAGGCAATCATGGCCTTGTTGTCGACGTACAGAACTGGAGGAGAACGAGGCGCCTCTCCCAAGTTGGTCAGCAGGTAGGTGAGCCAGCGTAACTCCTGTGCAGCCATGGCCCCTACGTAGATCTCAGCCTCACAGCTGGAGCTGAGAACAGAAGACGAGCGGGTAGACCGCCACGAAACAGAACCGGAGCCAAGGCTGAAGGTGTAACCCTGTGACAACCGCTGTGTAGCCAAGTCGTCAACCCAAGAAGCGTCTGCATGACTAGTGAGGACAACTGGAGCCCGTCCTCCAAGCACGAGCCCCATGCCCGACGTACTGCACAAGTGGCGCATCACCCTCTTAGCGGCCTTCCAGTGCTCTGGTCGGTGTCTCCCGGGCGCAACGTAGCGTGCCAGGATGCTAAGAGGGTAAGCGAGGTCAGGTCGAGTGCAGGTCATCAGGTACATGAGGCAGCCCACAAGCTCTGGATACGGGCCACTCGGCTCTACGGACTCATCCGAAGGCAGAGCTGAGAGCAAGTGACCGGTAGGCAGAGGAGTGGACTATGGCGAGGAGAACTGGAAGTCGAAGCGCTGAAGGATCTGCTGCACCATGTGTGACTGAGTCAAGGTAATGGTGCACTGTGCTCTATGGCGGGTGATCTGGAAGCCAAGATAGCTGCGCAGCTCACCCAGGTCTATGCACGTGTGTCTCTTCTGCAGCTCCGACTTCACGTGGGCCAGTCCAGCAGTGTCAGCAGTGGCAAAGACCAAGTCGTCGACGTACACGAGGATGTAGAACGGCGGTAGCAAAGTG